GCGCCCGCCATGAAGGATCCGTAGAGAACAGAGGTACCGCCGAAGCCTGTGATGCTGAGGAAAGCACATAGCACGAAGATCATGATGATGACGTTCACGACGTGGCGTTTGCGTGTCTTGGGGAGGCGTGGCTCGATGAACTTTCGGTATAGAGGCGCGATCGCCCATTTGTTTAGGACGGGAGTGAGGATGGCAAGGAGGCCGGATACTAGTGTTGGGCGTCCGATTAGCCAGCCTAGGTTGGGGGAGTCGTCGCCTCCTAGGGCGCCCAGTTGGCCGATTACACTGAGGGAATTTAGTGATACTCTTTGTTTTGGGTAACATTGTGTCTTACCTCGCCATCACTAGACCAGATACATCATCGAATACAGCCGCGCTGACTAGTACTGTACCAACTCGGGTGTCCGCGAAGCTGATCTCTTTAGAGCTCTTGCCTAGCACAACGAATGTCGTCCCAAGGGATGTGACCGAGAGCGCAGCCCCAACGATGAACGTTTCGATTGCTCCATACCCAAAGCCGACATATAGAAGTAGGTATGTGAGGCCAATAGGAGCGACGACACCGATGGTCGCCGCAATAGCAGAGAGGCCAAAGTTCGCTTTGAGCAGATCCAACCGCACGGCCAGGGCGCCCTCAAAGATGATAAGAACAAGACCAATATACCCCAGGGCGATGAAGGCTTCCTGCCATGCGATCGGTATCATATCACCGCCAATAGGCAGGCCATAGATCAGACCGACTATGATTTGACCTATAAGGCCGGCGCGGAACACCCGGTTCGAAAGCCATTCGCCGAAGGAAAGCCAAAAGAAAAACGAGACGAGGACGAGAATCTGAATGACTACTTAAGGTCAGTGATTGCAAAACCATGTAAGAAAACAAAGAACCTACTATTCGGCTCATGATACTGCAAAAAGCCTTCTGTCGACGGAGTCGAGGAGTCACCAGCCATACTGAAAACCGTCTTGAACGTGTAAAAAAAATGCGAAGATCGCCTGCCTATTCCAGGCCCTACACGACGCCCACCGCATCTTTAAACAAGTCCACATCCACAGCGAGCTTATCAGCTCCGCGTCAACACATGTTTCGCACCTCGCATCTTGATGTCTTGGGGATACATGTGGCGGCCCAGCCAAGGCGAGCGCGGATGCAGGCCCGACATCTGGGCTGAGGCAAAGACAAGCTCGCACGTGCGAACGAGTCAGTGACGCGTACCTCGCGCAGCCTTAGTGATGCCTGTTTCTCAACGCCTTACCTCTTGGTCTGTAAGAGATGCGGCTATACTCGTGATGGGAGGCTGCCTTGGCGTTTCCGCTCCGCGCTTGGCTTGAGGGCTGAAACGGGGTCTCCGCTTTAAGGCTAAACGTGAACTGTCGGAGGCGCCTTCTGGGTCTTGGGGATTGAGTCAAGCGAGGTTGCGGCGGACGCGGTGGGAGTTGGTCGTGGTGGAAGTATGTGGGCGGAAACCGGGTGGTTGTCATTGCCCGTGCCAGGCATCAGTGCGGCCAACATGCCGCCTTTGGACCGTCACACTAACTTCCCACGATGATATGGCGTCTCTACACCACCATGCTGAGATTTAGTCAAAGCGCATGTAGTCGTTTCGGATTTCCCTCTCCCATTTCCCGAATTTCCCGCTTCCAGAGTACGAAAATAAATGCCAGCGAGCTCTTCGAGGAGGAGCGCCTTCCGTGGTATAGCCATGATCAGTTTTATCCAGCACGACCTGGTGAGATTCTCGATTCTAGCTTTAAGGTTATAGGCAAACTTGGTTACGGTGCATACTCCACGGTCTGGCTGTGTCGGGATATTCGGGATATTCAGTATGTTTGGCGTTCTTCACCCCCATCCACCCTTCAAATTCTGATCATCTGTGCACAGAGAACGAGACGCTGGCTTCGTCGCTGACTTCGTCGCTGTCAAGATTTGTACCCGAGATGCCGAAAAGACCCCACAGCTCAATCGAGAGCTAGACTTTTACGAGCATGTCAGTTCTATACAATCACAGCATCGCGGCCAAGCATATATCCGCGAACTGTATGGCGAATTTGAGCTCGACGGTCCGACTGGCAAACACTTGTGCTTTGTTCATCCACCCATGCACATGACTATTCGACAGCTCCAGTATTACAACCCAGCACACAAGCTCAACGTTCCGCTTCTAAAGTTCACGCTAGCCAACGTGCTAAAGGCACTGTCGTTCTTACACGACGAGGCTAAGGTCGTACATACAGGTACGGCAAGATAGTGCAACGTGATTGGATCAACTGACAAATTAGACATCAATCCCGGAAATATCATGCTGACTGTGAATGATGACACTATCCTGGAAAACTTCGAGAAAGCTGAAGCAGAAAACCCGTCACCATCCAAAGTGATTGACGACACACGCACCATTTACAGTTCCCGTAAGCTTCCCCATCCTACGGGTGATCTTTGGGGCCGACCAGTTCTCTGTGACTTTGGAGAAGCGCGGATAGGAGATTCCCACTCCGGCTTGATTCAGCCTGAGCTATACCGTGCACCAGAGATAATTTTCCAGATGGAGTGGGGTTCCAAGGTGGACATTTGGAGTCTCGCCACGTTGGTAAGTATTCAACACTATCACAAGGAAGCCGTAATGACTTACTCTTGATTAGGTGTGGGACTTGTTTGAAGACGAGCATCTGTTCGACGCCCGTGACACCGAGGGCAACCCATCAGGGACACATCATGTTTCCGAAATGGTTGCATACCTTGGAATGCCTCCGCTTGAATACACACAAAGCAATGACATCACGAAGAAGGTCTTCGATGAGCAAGGTTAGTCATTGAGATTGTCCTGACATAGACTCTGCTAACTTCCATAGGATATTGGACGGGTGGCTCCAGGAGTGTAACTATTCCTAAGATCTCACTCGAGGAAAGAGTCTCTGGGCTTGAAGGGGAGGAAAAGGAATTATTTCTCGATTTCATACGCTCGATGCTTCGATGGCGGCCGGAAGACAGGAAATCGGCGACCGAGCTTTTGAAGCACCCATGGATGGCCGGCATGAAGTAGTTGCGACGACGATCAAGCAACCATTGCACTGCAAAATCGTTCTGGCGAAGTCTTTGTGTTGGCGTCGCGTGCGTGCAGGTTATCGGAAGGGGGCGAAGGGAGAAACGCGACGATGGGTGGGTCCACAGTCTACGCGTCCTAGAAAAGAAGCTAGTCTTCATTCGACGGCACGCGTCGTGGAGCTTCCCTCCCCTAACATCACTGGAACTCATCAGCGCATCCGTGTACATCAATACGGGATCTTGTTCACATCGCACCGACGCGACAATCTATTCCATGCTATGATTACCGCGTTAATACCGCACGCATGTGCATGTAAGCGCCGGCTCTCGGTCTTCGCACGCTGCATTGCTGTGCCGCAATCTCGTCCCGAGCCACCTGGGCGCAGTCAAAAGCCCAACCACCCAAACAAGGCCTCTTGAGCTCCTACAATCTGCGGCCAGATCCTTCGTGATTGCGCAAATTCTCTCAAGATATTTTGAGCTGTGTCGCGACACCTCTTCATCGCCGCCTACGCCGCCATGCGTGCATTGCTCCGAAAATGGCAGCGGAAAAAGCCCGAACCGACGACGACAATCAATCAATGCCCAGCGTCCAAATTCATCCCGCGACTTGAATTACCGAGGGGTGAGCCCCTCGATCAGAAGCAGTGTGTGCTTTTCGGGAAGCTGTCGGCCGAAGTGCGACTGCTCATCTACGAAGAGGTTCTCGCCGACCCGCAGCGTCTGCTGCACTTTCTACACGTCACTTATGGTATCGGACGACCTTACAAGCTGGGGCATTGGCGTTGTGTAGATAAGGACAGCCCTTATGTTACATGGCAGCATACATGCTTTGGAGTATGGTCAGAAGGCGACGTGCAACATATCCGTCCCGCCTGTCACACCAATAGTGATCTCATATCATTGCTTTTGGCGTGTCGGATAATGTGAGACTATCCGGAAATAATGGCTTCCGCCTGCTTACTCGATATCTGTAGCTTTTGTGAAGCGATCGAAGTCCTTTATGCCGCCAACCACTTTAGCTTTAGAGGCATTACAGGCGTGACCTCTTTCAACAATCTTGTGTCTCCGAGCTGTTGGAACATGCTTCGAAAGGTGCACATATCGACCACTTTCCTGACTCCGATGAAACACTGGATGGACAAGAGAGGAAGCTTTCCGCGAGAAAACTACCAGGATTGGGTAGACGGCTGTCGTACTCTCGCCACCTTGGATGATCTACGCACGCTTCAAGTCGAAATTTCGATACGAGATCAATGTCAAAGCTTTGAAGCGAACGCCGAAACCGTGGAAGAAGCGGCGCTGGTATGGATTTTGAACTCACTGAAGCTAATACGGGCTGTGACTTTTCGAGTCACCCTTAATATCGACCTACCCCCCACGGTCGTAATCGCACTTGGAGATGTACCGTTTCAAATGACGCATCACGGAAAGAAGTATGACCACGGGAACTTTATCTGATGATACCAAGAACTCTACTCTTGACCAACGACTGCTCCGACGCCCAATTCACCATCTCGCTCCCTGCATTCATTTGCATACACTCTCCGGATCAAAGCGCGTTTCCTTAGCTCTGTGGAACAATGCGGCCTTTGCTGTCGATCTTGCGTGGATTAGGATCCGCCAACAACTTGGAACCTGTGGATGAATTAGCTGCCAGTGGCCAGTTGGCTTGTTTCTCACGTACCAACCCCGAAGAGCGCTATTGTGTCGGCGTTGTTGTCTGGTGCATTCTCCTCTCCAAGGTCTTGTCCGTTACGGGCAAGTCTCACCGCACCCTCCCAACCATACGATGGCCAATCCAGCATCGAGGCGAAAAAGTTTGGCGAAGCCACATCTTTCAGACCCTCAGTATCCTTACCATCATCGCCCAACTCCGAGTATGCCCCACGAGCGTGGGTCATCTCATGCAAGAGTACTTTGTCCAACAATGAAAAGGCATCTGAGGTTGCTACGATTAGACACTGTTCGAGAATGTATCAAAGTACGACGTACCAATCTGGTTCAGGCCCAAGCCCCAAGTCCGGCCATTTGCCTGTGCCTGGTTGATGAGCTTTCTGCCAATCCTTGTTCGCCGTTTCACGTCGTCTGCGCTCTTCTGCTCCTTCTGCTTGATCCAATCCACGAACCACAAACAAAGCTGGATTTGGCTGGGCAGTCTCTTGAATCTTGTAGGAGGTGGTGCACCCTCTGGGTGATTTGGTGGGGCTTCGAACACAGTCGTGATCTGCGGATTGGTTGTGACTGCCAGAGCAACTCTGTCAAGCGTCGAACCTCTACACGACAGTTCTTTGAGCTTGAGCTTGTAACCATTTGCTAGGCTCAATCAGTCCATTATCGGTGTAAGTAGTGATTGTGTCACTTACTTGTATCTTCATAGAGATTCGCCTTCCCCTCCACCGGTACCCAGCGGTCGTAGTGGCAATAGATGATCTGAGATTGGTACGTCAGCATCGTCGACAATGGAATATGCATGACTGAGTTGTCCTACCACGTCAGTATCAGGCACACTGTTCGACCCTGTCACCTCTTGCCCCATATTGTGCTGAATACTATACAACAGTCGGTTCGTTTTGTCCATTTTGCCGTCATCGATAAGTTGGGCTGGCTCCAAGCCGTCCTTTGCGAATAGATTCCTGATCAGCTCGACCTCATCATCACTCAATAAAACTGAAGGCTTTGCTAATGTAGTGTATGCTGCGTTGACCATCTGGATCGCTGATCCCATGGCAGCTCGGACGTCCGCTGCTATACCCTTTTCTTCGCAAGATGCATCGATCTTGTAGGCCTTGACGATGAAAGGTAGGAGTAAAGATATCGTCAGGAAGAGGAACGGGAACATGTTGAACTAAGTCCGGTTGTGTCGCTTGAAGAGGCTGGCAGTGTAACAATGAACAAGTGCTTGATTGACTTCGACATATCTGCATGAGCTCCTTAAGTATACGCAAAACTACTTGTCAGGCTTGCTACTGGACACGACACATCGATGCACTTGAGCATGCGCCGCACATATTCGGTCGCCAATGGCTATCTTTTGCATCGCCTACCGCCCTCGGATACCGAAGACATCATGAGACGGCCCCACGCGTTCTGTCCCGCTCGGTTGGGGCAGCAGGCAGGTGTGCTACTATTCGTGGGGGCGCTTCACGCGGCACAGTTCGCTTCCATCCCAGTCGTCAAAAACAACAACAGTTTTCGATGCAACATACATGCAAATCAGCCCCCAGCCCCAAGAGCTCATCAACATCACGACACTTTCAATATATTCCTCGGCCCCAGCCGCTTCAGTTCTGCACTCCGCCACATATCGAGGATTAGCGAGGCTTCCCAACGTTCGCGTGCATGGTCAATGGTGTTTCATGTCGACTTCGCCAACCCCAAATATGTTCATAGACGCCGCCAGGTTCTCGACCACCTTCTAATTTGAAACTCGTCGTCTTCGAATGCCAGTCCCGATAGCTGTGCCTCAAGAGAAATGTGTGCAGCTGGTCCTCGTCTCCGCTGTGCCTCTCCGGATATCGCGATGCCGCTTGGGGCGATGAGAAAACGACATGGTGTCTCGACCAGAATATTTGGTTGCTAGATATGGTGCTGAAGGCCTGAGATTTCGATACATAAGCTCGAAAATCTGCAACAAAAAACTGACAGCCAAACTACTTCTTCACAATCACAATGTCCTTCCCCAACTTGCTCGCGCTAACCCTCACTTTCCGAATTGTTTCAGCTCGCGTCTTGGGAACATCTACTGGAATACCGTCCCCAACGTTAAAGCCTCCTTCGCGTAGAGAAGAAAGCTCTGCTCTTCCAACGTTCACATTGGGCCCGGAAGATGCGTACTTTCCAACCACGGTATGTATCGGTCTGCTTTCCATCTGAACCATGCTAAACTCTACACACAGGCCGCTAACCCGGAGCCATCGGGATCTGAAGTCCAAGTATATCCTACCGGGGTCTATGACACTTTCCCAGCTGACGGGATCACTGTCGCGTTCGGTCCGGAGATACACGAACAGATGAAGACTGTTCGCGCCGAAAGCTGCGACAATAAACCAGCTGAAGAATGTCGCGACGCAATCAACGGTGTGATACAGAAGACTGGGGTATCTACTCACGTCAAACGCTTCATTCCCATTGCACCTTGGGTTCTCTATGTTCTTTGGGGAGTCGTGTTAGCCGAGATAGTCTTGTTGTACAAACAAGACCTAGGAAAAGCGATCAAGCTTCCCCCGGAGGATCTCCGGCAGATTCAGTCGATGGCTGGTGCTCAAGAAATCGCCATCGTGACGGCCTCCGATGCCAGCGCTATCGCAGCTACGTTAACGGTTCGACCCCCTGCAACGACTACGCCAACGTAAGCAACCGATGTTTGACGATACTCTGAGAAATACTAACAGAATCTCTAGGAGTCTTATCAGCATCGAGACGCTCACCACGGCCAGTGACGGACACGAAGCTGGAGATATTGTGTATCACATCCCCGAAGAAACAGCCGACCGCATTCAAGACTTCCTGGGAATGACCGGTCTTCAAGAGACTCAGCAGATCTGCCAAGGCCAGAACCTGAAGCGCGCTGATCCTACTGAGGAGTGCATTGAACGTATCTTACGGCATGCCATGGACCTTGCGGACACCGGTCCGGACAACCTCATGGCTTTAGCGCAGGCAAACATCCCCATTGAACCGGCCGCGGGTCAAGCTATCGGGTTCCCGATCCCTAGCATCTCTATTGGTGATTCGATCGCGATCGTTCGAGTTTATCGCCAGGTCTTCAGTGCGACGGGACAAACTCCAGAAGCTGATCAAAACTGGGACCCATTCGCTCTAGCTAATAGTGCACTCGGTCTTACGATCGCTGCCCACGCAGCCATGCTCGTTGGTCAAACCCTAGTCGACATATTCCTTAGCAAGAGCGACATCATTACCGACCTCAAAGAGGAAGATCTGATGTGTGCTAAGGATCTCATTTGCACAATGGAAGACTGCCAGGGCCAAAGAGAGGTGACAGATCCCTTCACTAGAATGATTAGTTCGGAGATTCCTACGACACCAACATGTCTCACGGTATGTTACATGACCCACGCAGTGGCAACACTAACAGTATTGCAAATAGCCCAGGCATCTCGGTTGCAGATGCGAAGTCGTCAACTATCCGTACGTCTATGAAGTACCCAAAGGATACATGGATGCGCAATATGCATGGCTCGAAGAGCTCATCAAATTAGCCGACAACCCGGTATCTGAGGCCTCGGAATGTAAAAACAACACACAAGAATATGACGACCCCAGAGCCAACTTCAAACGGTGAGCGAACTCTGCAATCATGGTCTAGTGAAAATTGCTAAGCTTCACACAGCTGGATCGAAACCGCCTGTGACAAGAACGACAACCGACTCGATAAACCTTGGGAGTGGGGAGACGACGACACACCTGGATTTTACGGCACCCTCAGATGGAGCCAGATACCAGACGGGCTTACTGAGTGCCCATTCGAATGCAAGGAAGCATTCGAGCCCTTCCTGGAGTCTGACTGTAAGCCCGACAAGCCAAACTCATTGGTCTCGCTGACGTGGTGGGCAGGTGTGAAAGACGGAGGTTTCTCGAGTTCCGGTAAAGTCGAGACCGACTGCGGCAGGGCCTCGCTGTATACACGGAACACAGATTGCAACAAGCATCCGGAGTGTTGCGACACCTTCGGATCTGATTGCGGAGTGATCGACGAGTGAAGCCTGCGAGCTTGCTGGGCGAGTGCCTGCTAGATTAGTCTTTGGGAATGTAAAAGTCGGTATCAGGGTCGGGTCTTTGTATGTAATTCGGAATGGGTCTCCATACCAATGCGCTTTCTGGAACGAATGGAGCTGGTCTTTGCAAACCTCTTTGCCGGCCCCGGGGCCAGTGACGTCATTTTACGCGCTAGAACACGGTCATGACGCCACACGCGTGTACGCGTTCACACAAGATGTTCCTACCCAGCTTTGACACAACCATTGCACCAACTCTTTCTCTCATCGCACACTTTCGTCAGCGTGCGACGACGACGACGCGCCGAAAGCGATCTGTCGCCATGGACGTTATTCCATCGACAGCAAGATCGGTTTATGACACGGACATAATAAACGATGACAGTCTTGTGCGCTGCATACATCAATGTACCAATTCCATTACAATGGGATGAGATCGATTGGTGGCATGGCTGCTTGCACCCCTCAATGTTCCATGGGTAGAGCTGTGGATCGCGAGCGCCGCGCAATCTTGCCCTCGCTCTTCGGCAAGGGTCGAAATTTCTCCTGGCTGCACTCAGAGTAAGTTATCGTAAGTGTGGCTAATATGCTGGGAATACTTCCATTTAGAATACTGCAAACATAACCCTTCGAACGCATATTGCAAAGCTATGGCGGCTCGAGGTCCACCAGAATCGCTGCAGCCCCATGCGCGGCATCATCTCACATCGCTACCCTATCGGCTACTGGAGAAGTTACGCAGGTGCACGCCACGAACGATACCTAAGGCATCAGTATACACACTTAGCTGGCTTCGCAGCCAAAGGACACGACCGCGCAACAGCCATGTATCCGCACGGGATCGCCACGATGAAGACATCTCTCGAAAGAATCAATTGAAAGACTGTTCCAACCTGATCTTGATGCTACCGAGGGAACTACGCGATCAGATCTATGAGTACGCTTGGCAAGGAACGCATATCTACTATCAGGACGACTTTTGCCTCGCTGGCGCTGTCAACGCGCGGTATCTAGACTGCGATGAACTTTGTGAACAGATCCAGACCCTTCCAGCATGGGTGATCATTCATCCTCAGATTCAAGAAGAGGCGCTTCACTTCTTCTATCAAGCGGCAGAGTTCAGTGTTGGTGACGGCAATGAATACACGACCCCGTTTCACGGATCGACATCGCACATGTCCAGTATCTTGTCGATCGAGAAGGCGCGCAATATTACTGTGTTCGGCATTACCGGGTTTTATGAACCGAATAGAGATACAGCGTCTACCGACTCTTTCGCAGGCTCCTTGGATAACGTAGGAGACTCTCCGGGCTCATTCATAGACTTTGTGGGTCTATTCGAAGACTCTGTGAACATCACGCTGAACGATACTCAACGAAAACTCATTCGCCATGTCACAGATAATGACGCGGTTCACCTTCTACGTCTTTCAACACGACTTCAGCTACGCTCTGGTGCAATGACTCTCATCGAGGAAGAAGCTCACCTCCAGGCGTTACAAGACTTGCAGGAAGCGTCGTATGGTATCAGCCATGTACAGATGCATTTCCAATTGGCATGGCAACCTTCCCAATCCAGCTTACTTGGAGAATTCCGAGTCGCGAACTATCATTTCGTAGTCAGCTGCTGGATCTTGGCAAAATCCATACTTGTCCCGCCTTCAACATATTTTACGCCTGCCTGCTCCGAAGACAAGGAGTCTGAACCGAACGCTGTGGGGCGGGAATCAGCATTTAGAGATACTATGGATTTGCCGCATTGGAAAGACAACAATGCCAACCTTGAGCAGCAATCGCAGGGGATCATGACGACGGCTATGGCATATCGCCGTAGCGGTGTCGGGCTAGAAGATGGTGCTCTATCGGCGCTCGCTCCTGTCTCCTCCAATTAGGCATCGCTGCTAGAAAACGAGAGCCTTAAGGACCCGGGAAAGCAGCACCGGTTGGGTCACAGCACTATGACAATATCTTTATCGACCTCGATACATCGCGAGTGGAGGCTGATTTCTCTACTGGCTCGCCGTCGGCCTTTCCCTGTACTTACACTCTGGTTGTCTATATTTAACAGCACAATTACGCCCTGCACTAGACACGTCACAAGCTTCAGGCGCCCCGTTCGTCCCACCAAGCCGCTGGAACGAACTTGTTTCTGACACTTTCGACTCGAGCGTCGCACTCACACTACGTTTGAATTGCCCCTATGCCTTTACACGATCGCGCTATATCAGGGAAATCGAGAGAATCTTACCCTATTCAGAAATCTCTTTGTACACATATCGACTCGCCTGCCAGCTTCTGACATCGCTATCAATCATTTTCGAGCATTTCGTGCCCAGACACGTCCCGCCTCTCCTTCTCGCCAGCATCTGGACAGTCGGCGGGCTGATGTCTTTTACTCATGGGCCCGAACAAGCTATCCTGACATACGGTCTCTCCAAAAGCATCGCATCTTCTAAGGTAGCGTGGCCTTTGATCAAGATCGAAGGTTCGCGCGTTACCACTATTGGTGTGGCGATCTGGGGAATTTATTTCGGGGGCCATTTGGAAGCCATGGACACACTACTTGCTTGCATTGGATGGATGGCAATCATTGACGGTGTGGTATGTGCGAAGGAAGGGTCTCCAGGGTCTGCTAGAATACGTACGACGTATCAGGGTGTGGTTGCGCTTTGGGGCTTGCTGGGTATGACTTCGGGAAAGTACTTCTAGGTTGAGCTTCGGTATTAGGTGATGCGCGTACGATATATGGGGTTGTCCATCAAAAGACGCGCTGCTGGCTCATCTCTAGCATACGACGGGTCTTCTTGAGCATTCTGATAGATCTTTTCAACCAAACCTTGCCGTCTAACTTTTTTCCAAAGTACGAACTAAGTACCTCGTCCCTCAGTTCGCGATCTGACGCCAATACCCAGCCGTAATGAGTATCAATCTCTTGATACCTGTTCTCAATATCAGCGACTATCTTCCGCACTCGCTTAACTGCATCGCGTTCTTCTGCTGTACCCGGCGTAGCTTCCACAAAGCTGTGGCATAGTGAATCGACTTCCTCGAGACAGCCAGGTATCCTTGCCTTCAGCTCGCTAATCTTATTGACTAGTTCTTCGAACTCTGAAGAGTACTCCTCGTCCGCTTCATGAGTTTGGTGTTCTGTGTTCATGATTATGTCGAGGTGCAGATGCAATACGAGCAGCTCTGTAGTAGAAAAAGGAGTGTAAGGTGTTGATTCCGGCGATCAGGTCATGCGCAATCTCCTTAGTTCAGCACGTGATGTCAGAAGAGTGTGGCTACCTAGGTAGGGCTACATCACATGTATGTTGGCGTCACGTATATCGCTACTTCAATAGCTCGCCTCGTGTGCTGGTATCATAGCATATCAGGGTGGTAAATATATGTACTCCAGTTTAGTTCTTGAATACGAGTCGCTTGATGACTCAAATTGAATTAGCCACTGTGAGCTCAGCTATTCGTCTTCATCTTCACAACCAGCATCCTTCCGCATTCTTTGGAACATCGTGTCCAGGCCAACTAGAGCCACCTTTGCTCTTTCTGCGCTCTGCCAAGCTTCTTCCAAGATATCTTGAAGGCGATTCTTATTTCTTTCCTCGCATTTCAAACCGTGTTTCAGTGTCTCTAAATCCTCTTCCACGATCCAGCCTGACACCGACTCTCGAAAACGCTCAACTGCTTTGTGAGCTTCCTGAAAAAGCCAGCGTATGTCCTCATGTGCCTCCCGCCGCCTCGTCTCATCCATCTTGCTCGTCCCGGATTTACCGACGTAGCAGATTCGCCAGAACGGACCTGTAAACCCGCCTTGCTGATAGTCAACGCGTGCTAGTTGGCTCAAGTAATGGCCAATGCTCTCCTCGGTGAATTTGATGTTTAGAGCTTTGATGACATTCGTAATATCTGTTTTCCGAACTGTTCTGCTGTTAGTAGCGTGTACATATGGTACTATGACAGCGTACTTGCGGCTGGGACACAGTTCACCTGCAGAAGTCTGCGGCAATTTGAAGACCTCGTTCAACTTTTCCTCGATATGTTCCAGCTGAGGCTTCAATTCTGACGTATAGTCGTCGTGTTCCTCTAAAACTCTCCTAAACATCTCTAGCGTGAAAGAGGCCTCATAGGTAGGGTAAAATTCCGACATTTTGATGAAAGACTCCAGGTTTGTACGATATGTGAAGGAGTTACACATTTACTGCGCAGGTTTTGTAGGAGACTATGACTGTGTCAGGTTGTCCTGTGCGCGAACAGTCACACACAAGCTGTGACCCTAAGGACGCGACGAGCCGGCATTGAGTCAAAGCGCATCACGGCCACAGTCCAAATGGCACGACAAAGAAGAGAAGCATGGACGCCGTCACTTACAGAATCCTCACGTACACCGCCTTCGACAAAAAGCAAACACGTCGCTGTTGTTGTTGTGAAGTCTTATCTACTGTTGAGGCGCCGTCATCCCGAGACGATGCATGCCTCTACAAAACCACGGCTTGCGCGTCCACCCGAAGTAGAGCATCAGTCATCTCCGCCGTCATGTCAACACCACACCCAACACCTCGGGCAACACTTCTCTCTACCACCTTTTGGGAAATTCTCCCCTCACATTACGACAAGATCATAAACCGCTGGTCTAAAATCGCACACCTACATCACGAAGCCAAATCTGATATCCTCGCCACCGACCGCGCTGGTGCCGTGGCCTCTGTTAAAGCCGAACTGGAAATGTTGGAGCAAGATGTGGAACAATATCGGAAGCTGGTGAACAGCATCGATATCACAGATATCGCAGGCACTTATGTTGTGGGTGGGAAGTTGCCACATCGCGCATTGGAAATCGCCAAGGAGGACAAGCAGGATTTAGAAGAGAGTTTGGAGATGATCGAGGAGAAGGTCAAAGAGGTCAGGGCTGATGTGAGGTACGGATTCGAGGAGGAAGATTTCGACTGGTCGATGTGTCCCTAGACGCTGCATTCCACTCCAGGTGTCAAGGTCTGAGCTGCAAACCAAGTTCGAGACAATGTGAAACTGACAATATGGAATGTCAGTGGGCTAGCTGTTGAGTAATGAACAGAGTACGACTAGACTTGATTGTCATCCTACAATGATACCCCGCGACTCACATATCGAAAGTGTTTATCCACCCATGATGTCTAAACCAGCTTCTTCCTTCACGCCCTGATTTACAAAAGCAGGTCAGCAAGAAAAGATATGCGAAACATGTTCAAAACCACAGCGGCAAAAGTCAGTACAATGAGCGACGCCCATAATCCTCAAGACCGCCAACCGAGAGACCTGACATCCATATTAATGGACCTCGAGGATCGAGCCGACCGGGTATTGACAAGTCTTTACTTGCTCAAGCAGCTAGACGACGATTTTCCAGCTATCGAGACAGCCATAGAGCAGCAAGACTGTGTTGATATCATTCGCTCCCATACCGAGAAAATGGAGGCCAACTTAGAGGTCATGGAGCGGAAGAGCGATTTGCTAGACGATGAACGAGTCTGTGACTGGATGAACAACGGCAGAGATGACACAGAGAAAGAGAACAGGAACGAGTTTCTCAATCGATTAATCAAGAAGATGGAGGGTTTGCAGAAACAGATGGCGGAAGCGAGGAGGGGTTTTGTCGGATAGGGGCATCGCAAAAGATGCGCAGGTGCGAGGATGCCATGTTGTCGTCAAGGAAACAGCAGCTTTGCTAGATGCTATGTTCATACTTCTTGCTTCTGCACTTCCTTGCTGGAAGCCTTCAATGAGTGCCGCTGAGTGTGCTACTCGAAGGAGCATCCCCACTGGACTGGCTCTGGCAGTGGTGCTGTGTTAGGAATGTTGCCGCTCTCTCGGAACTCAACAATCTTCCTTTCTCCGTCCTCCTCTTTGACTACCGCGAATGCTGCGTTTGTGAAGTACAAGTCGCGTTTGACGCGGGTCTGGAAACCACCAGCCCACCCGATCATGTACACGAAGCCACCTTTATCGCCATTTATGTTGGGCACACCAAGGGTGTTGATGGGGCCATGCTTGAAAGGCGCAAAGGCCATGCCCAGGGTCGCGTTGAAGATTGTATAGAGCCGCCTTGAGCCGTCGAAGTCGTAATGCGTGTCGTTGAAGGTGAATTTGATGTCTTTCGAGAATGATTTCGCATGGCCGTTGGGCCAATTCGTGTTCGCAGGGTATGGATAGAACCCTGTTCTTGTATTAGTATGATGAGGCCTTAAGCATATTGTCTTTTGTACGTACCATTGACAGCGCATTCTAACCAACTGCTAAGCTGAACGCTCGCATTTGCTTTTGGGGAGTCGGCCAACGAGCAAGGATCGATTGCTTCGTTCAAGAATTTGGGCGTGTTCGAGTCTAGGACCTCTTGCGGCGAGATGTCGAATGCTGCGATAGATGCGATCAGACCGCATGCGGTGGCTTCAACTACGTCAGTTGTGATCAGAACCGTGACTACCGGCCTCTTACCAAGGAACGGGAGGTAGCGCATGATATTAGTTGTTCTGCCAGAAATACAGAAACTGGAGGAGCATTGATATGACGTGCGCCATACTTATAAGCAGACGGTGACCTCGTTGCCTGCAGTCAAGGCTGACGAGGCTGACGGGCTGAAAGCGCAATGGGTGTAACGTTAACACAAGACAGGCAAGTGACCGGGGCGATGGCCGGCTTAGAGCTGAGTGGCTCCTCACTTGTTTGCAACATAGCGACCAGTCAAACGAGAGAGCCTGGTATCATCTACCTGATGAGGAGGACGTAGGTTGAGGGTATTAATTGGTGCTGTCAGCTACGAAGCTATCGGAAGCTGCCTTCCGCGCCGATGCGCACCGCGTCATTTTCGCGCCATCGCGGCCAGAGCTCCAGGGCGTCGTCCTACGCAGCGCGTCCAAAGAAAGAGCTCTTCCCAAATAGCCCACCCACTCCTCTTGGCTTCTTGCCCATCTCAACAGTAGCCCTCTTATTGACGACCGCGAAGCCACCTGTCCTTATGGCTTTCGCATTTGGATCAGTCTTGAATGCGCCACTTGGGGGCGCAGCGCCTATGGGCGTGGGCGGCGTGTTGGACATCTCAACAGCCTCTCTCTCCGCCCCGGACATCTCGGCGATCTGAGACGTTTGCGGCATCTGCGCAGGCATCCACTCTACTCTGATCGACTCATCGCGACTAAGCTTCTGGTCGTCAAACCACAGCTCGAAGCGGATGTCTGCGGGTCCGATCAAGACGCGTACCGAGTACTCGATGCGCAGATAGTGCTTCTGCAACGACCAGAAGTGCTTGTTCTTCTCTTGGAACTTCTTCTCATCCGCTGCAGAGAGGTCTGAATTTATCTCGCAGAGGATGCGCGTGTCTGTGAGCTGTCAGAAAGCTGGACGAATGAGGCGGCCGAGCTTCGGTACACATACATTGGTTCATTTGGTCTGGCAATATCGCCGCATCCAAGTCACTCTCGATGACAGTCGTCGGAAATGCCCTTCTTGGATCGCCCGGGTCGACCTTCTTGATGAAGTTGTGCTCGATCGGCTTGTCCACGCTTACTGGCGCGCCCTTCTTGACGAACCACGCTATCGACTGCGTGATATACAGCTTGTTGTTTAGTGGATCTCGAACAAGCTCTTTCCCTTGATGCTCGGGGTTCTTCTTGTCATACGCGATCTTGCACACAGTGCCATACGACGCTCGACAACAACGCCAGCCGAGAACCGATCGTGATGTCAGGATCTTTCGCATACGATCGCTGACGAGACCCTTGCACACAGCGAGTTGAGGGTCAGGCGCTATGCTCACCGAGATGGACTCAGCATTTGGGAAAGAGGTGCGCGCGTAGTACTTTCGGAGCTGCGATTGCACATACGCGCTATTGCCCAGCCCACCACTGAGGACCAGATGCGCTACATGCTCTCTCGGGAATTTCTGAAAAAGCGATTGCAGCTGCGTGTCGATGAGCTTGAACAGCTTCGCGATCTGCTTGTCGAATAGGCGCTGCAAGTCTTGCCGTTCGAACGTCATCTCGCCGTTGCGAATTCGAACTTCCGGATCAGAGTTGCTGTACGTTTGCGGAACACGTGGAATTCCTATACTGAACAACGGTGTGTCGTCTGGGGCGCCATACTCACACTTCACGGCTTGGAAGTCTCGACTTTTCATCATCTCCCATCCGGCATCCGCGGGGTCGACCGGTAGAGGATTTGTACTGTGTGCGAGCGTCAACCGATGCATCACCAGCCTCTCAAACTCGTAATCGATAGCAGCGGATCCGATGGTCTCGCCAAACACAACATCCATCTGCTGAAGATCGATAGCCTGGTTGACCGTGCCAGTGACTTTCAGCACGCTAAGATCGGTTGTTCCACCTCCGGCGTCACAAACTAGCAAGACATCGTTCTCGCGGAAAATGCCTGGTGCTTCGGTGGATACATGTACTGCAGCGGCTTCGGCTTCCGTGAGACCTATCGCTACTTCGTGGTGCGGATGCGTCCCATAGCCCGCCTCTTTCACCAGCCGTTTGAAGTTCTCCACTGTTGGCATCGGAGCCCATGTGGTCGGCACGCTGAATATGAACTCAATTCTAGCCTCTTCCCAGCCGATGCCAGAAAGCTCTCCGCCAAGCTTGAACGACAAGTACTCGTACATCTTCCGCAGATAGTCGCCATACCACTTCTCAACCTCCTGTAGGTTTTCAGGTGCGCCTTCTGGATCTTCCATCTGCTTTCGGCGGAGCTTCTCTGGGTCGAGGCATGTCTTGAACCACTCCTTGTACTCCTTGTCATCGGCTGCGGTCTCTGCTGCGGTCTCCGAGAGAAAGCCCCATGATGATGGATCCTTGGAGCCAATTGGGTAGACAACTACCGTCGGAACTTTGTTTTCATTCGCCTGGAATCGTCCAGGCCACTTCTGCACCCAGCGGACAGTTTCGCTGCCTATGGAGAGGTTTACATATGCCACGCCGGTACCTGGAGAGATGTATCAGCCGCGGACTGGTGTGATCAGGAGCACGTGATTCAACGCAGCACACTAATCCGAATTGGGAATCGCCTCCCCACGTGCCATTCCTCAGCCTCACCAGAACTTACACGTCATCCCAAGGTCTACACCCACGATCATATGCGGTCGCTCGTTTCGCTCCATCTTGTCTCGTTGTCGGTGACGCGGTCTTTGTTGTTGCCTTCCCGCCTGATCACGTATCTATAAGATGCGGAGACGATGCAGGTGCCTTGAGGCGGCCCCTATGTCTCAGCCTTGCGGCACAGCATCTTTTCGACCGATCACAACACGCGCCATTTCGGCCCCCATGTATTTTGAGCCTAAGAATACGCCTTTTATGCATGCCGAGTGCGCCTTGGGGGCCGCAACGAGGCACTTCAGGGAGACTGCATAAGACCGAATGGTTGGCTGAACTATCTACCTTTCGGTCTCAATCCATTTCGCTTGCATTATTCGGGAGGAACTGTGATAAGACTAACCTTGTTACGAGCGCCAAACGGGGAGACACCCCTCTTTAGTGGCTGCAACATAGGCCGTGGTACAGCACAGCCGGTAATCGCTAAAACTCTCTACGATCTCTACACGGCAAGCTAACTTCTCTCAAGTTGCTCAATTACCCGAGATTTGACTGGGACGTATTCCACTTTCTTGTCGACTGTTCTCGTGTTGCATCTTCACATTGTCACATTGTCCGCGAAACAACCCCGATCGATAAGAGGCGGTTGACCTTACCTACGGAGTAAAATAACTAATCTTCAAGATGGGAGATGGAAATCAACAACCCCCCTCCATCGACTGGGCCAGTGCGGACATCACAACTAGCGCTGCTTTACAGTATCCCCTCGTGCTGTCATTAGCGGAGAAGCCAGTCGCGACAGTGCAGGTCCTCCTCCCCTTCGCCGAACCCGGCAAAGGGATTGTCTATACAGTGACCTCAGTTTCTCTACCCGGGGGACCACTGCAAACTTCAACGCTGAATGTTGTTGCAGCTACAACTGCAACATTCGACGGACTCATTCTGTCCGTGGATGGAAAGGCAAATCCACCGCGTCTTCTATATCAGACGGCACAGATTTCCACTACGGCCGCTCCAGCAACATCACTTCCGGCCACAAGCGCAGCTGTTCCGCCAACTACAGCAGCAACGCCTGCTTCAACTAGCTCCCAAGCGACTAAGACTGGACCGTCAGAATCCATTTCTCCAGCCACGAGTGTCCCACTCTTACCCCAGAGTGAAGGCTCCGCCCTTTCGACAGGTGCGATCGCCGGTATCGCGATCGGATGCTTTGCCGCAGGTGCACTGCTCGCCGGAGCCATTCTGTGGTTTTGCCGGCGCAGAAGAAGACAGCCCAAGAATCAGTATCCCCAATCCGACACATATGCGTTGGCTTCGCAGGAAAAAGGGTTCTCCGCCAGTGCTATACCGTTAGCCGGAAAACGATCATCTGTAGCTGCTCTGGGTGGTGGACTTCCTCAGCCCCTGGAAGACAAAGCCATCTCTGGCGATGTCTCGAAGATAAGCAATGCCATCAAAAACCATGTCCAGAGTTACTACCACACCAGCCGTGTCAACCCTGGTCTCATCGACTATGAGGATCTTCACGCAATAGGACCAGGTTTACCAGTCTCGGTAGGAACACTCACTACATTGATTGGAAATGCTGCAACTAGAGAGATTGCCCTAAGGTTCATCATCGCCTGGGTGATCGTCTCGAAACTTCAACCCTCTAAAGATCCCTCAAAGAGCCTCTTGCCGTCCGAAGTCGCGCAATGTTACCAAGCCGTCGCGACTGGAGATCGTGGCTATCAAGGTATGCGGCACAAGTTCCTTCGTCTCCTAGTATAGAAGTACTGACTTTCGTGCAGCTCAAACTTCATTGATGGCGCGCTGGCGGGTCATGACTGCGGAGTTGATGCAGGCTAGCTACATCCGCAATCCCTTCGGTCCCTCCGACAGTCGACACGCAAGTATACAGGCAACGCTTGCAACATTAGACAACGTTCTACAGCCATACGCGGACTCTCGCATGAACAATGGAGAGCGTAAGCGGAATCTTGAGGAAGTGCTGAAGCGGGCTGCGCTTTTCGCTTTCACGCTGTTTTCTCAGCCTAGCGCATGGGAGTTCGAGTGGCAGGAGGAACATGGTGTCACGTCAGGGGACTTGTGCATTTTCCCCGCTCTTGTGCAAGTAGCGGACGAGGCTGGTAATCCAGTCAGTCCGCCGCGGCCTTTCAGCGAGGCTGTGGTGAGACGGTTGGATGCATGAGTCGGTGGCTCATGCAAGGAAACCCTCGCGTACGACTGTGCTCACAGGTAGAACCTGTGCCACCTTCAAGAAGTTTCACGTTGCGGAGGCCTTAGGTCCCACGCTGTCACAGTGATGACCACATTGCTATCGAATGAATTTAAGCTTAAAATTGTGCTTACATCTTCATGTCCTCGCCGAACAGGGGAAGGCGATACGCTACGACGCTTGCACTTGCGATGAAGATGGTCATCCATCATGTTCGAGATGCGAAGGCTTACGCGCAACGGCCAATCGGCTAGACCAACTCCTAGTCTGATTTCGCTTCCCTCTTCCGAACCCGCATCTTGCGCATGGGGGCCAATATGGAATGTGTTTTGGCCCCCATTGAGGCGTAGTCCATGCAATCAGCATCCTTGCGGCGTGGCCTAATAGCGAGGTTTGGATCGAAGACCAGTGCCTTATAAGTAATTTATGCCAAATCCGGCGAGACGTCCCATGCACGTTGGCATGATTATGCTGTGCGGCGTGAGACGACAACGCTGCATGACTCTGCGGTACGGTGCCCGCGGCTGAGTTGTTGTTCTGCGCCCCCAACCAACACTTTACCGCTACATCGGTGCCGTGATCGACTGACAACTATCCCATGTGTAGCTGTTAGCAAATACTTCCATCGGACAGGCCGACACACGAAACTGGAACACCAGCACATCTGCACCGGCTGTGCCTATTTCGAGCAAGTACTGCGTCATTCTCTGCGGGGTTTGTCCTGGTGTACCTGGCGCATGTCGCCTGCTACCATTGCTTAACCCATGCGCGCTACCGGCTACTTTCAGACTCTGTACAGCAATAGTACAATCAGCTTGAAGTAATACGAACGACGCTCATGCCAACGTTGACTTCGATGTTGCCCGCCGCTGGCTTGTTCTTACCGGAAACACTGCATCGGGCTGACCTCCCCACGCAAGCGCCTACGGAGACCGAAGGTACAAGGCTGAAGTATTTCCAACGCAAGATCGGGCGGCCGAAGCAGGAGCCTAGGAACTCTGAGGACCGGCGGCCGTCAAATGCTATTCCAAGGGAAACGCCCGATGACATCTTATGCGACTTTCCAGCGATACCGACTACCTACTACTTTGCGGACTATGTCCTCACCACCGAGAAGGCTTCTGCGGATACCATCGCTTTCGTGAGCATCATCCAACAAGTGCGACAAGACATCGATGAGGCGACGCGCCTTTTCATCTCATCTGCGGTTTCGAATTTCCTGGATGCTTACCCAAATAAGCGGAGATGGATCGAGACTTCCTTGCTCGAGGTGCGACGTGCTCTTAACGAAATCGGCATGGATATGGACAAAGCCTGGGGCCACGATGGAGATGGCGGCACAGCTGCATCGAAGCTGAAGCTTGAGTGGGGTCTAAGAAACCAGAAAAAACTTCTGAAAAAGAAGCAGCTGTTAGATCAGTGCCACGCTCAGTTGACCGGTGCTATATACGTCATGCAAACGGCAGAACTCTGTGGGAAGCCTGGTGCTATCGCAGAAACACCCATTTTCGAGGCTCCGGTACGACCTTGGGTACCTCATGATGAGAAAGACGCGCTACGTGGACCTTATTCGAGGCAGAAATACCGAACAAATCAAGCGAGCGTCTCCGCATCAAATATCACACTGGCGTCTGAAGCCGAAAAAGACGACGTCGAAAGTGAGTGTCATCCACGATAGACCAGACTTCAGTCCAACTAACGACCTTTAGCCGGTAGTGTCAATTCGGTGCCTGTAGAACTGGCCGGTAGTACGCCGGCTGACTTGGATATCGAGGAGAGGCAAAACTCACAGAGCTTCCTGAGCCCTCAGGTATCCCGCGAATTCAGTACTGAAAGCTCGACACTGTCCAGACGACCACGAGCACGCTCAGACTACTCCCGACAATCCGTCCTTCGGGAACCAAGACCTCGCGCCTCCATCGATGTCGCACCTTCCCCCTCGAATAATGGCGATGCAACAATCGAGCGCACCGACTCCACTCTGTCCACACAAGCTACCGTCAGCGTCCCCATGCTAGCGAGACGGTATCGAGCAACGTCGATAGACATCCAAAGGCATAGCGAAAAGCACAGGTCTTTGCCATCGGAGCTCCCTCATCTCAAGAGTCAGCCGTCACTTATCGATGATTTGGCGGACTATGTGATGCCTAGTGCGGCAAGTGAGAGGCTGCCGAGTAGAGAGTGGCCAAACAGTCCAATAACTTCTATTCCATCGATCTCGGTGACGTCGACCCCAACAACCGGTCATGCGTTACCTGTTGTCCCTGAGGCTACACCTATAACGAATGCGATGACAGACGGTCTACCAAACATCGCAACCAAGACTACTGCAGCTCCATCGCCCCGCCAGCTTCCTACAAGTAGCGAAGGACTTGCGCAACTACCACAACATGAGAAGGGGAATGCGGATGCGTCGTCGATGTATGAGGACGACTCGAGCTTGCGACGAAATAGCTTTGCCTCTGCGGAGCGCACATCGTCGCCTATGTCTCACTATGCAACATCTATACACACTCTGCGATCGCCCAGTGCTCTTGTCAACGTTACCACTTTCACCGACGACGAGCCAGTTCGTCGCCCAAGTAGCCAGCGGCCGTCACAGCGCATGTCTAAAAGGTTGTCGCAAACGTCAAGCAGCAGATCATTCAACGCAACACCGTCACCCACAATTACCACGGTCGCCGAAACTACAACAACACCCAGTACGGAGGAGGCGGCGACTACCCTTCCGGTAACTGCACCGTCTCGTCCACCACCACCACCACCACCACCCCAGATCATCACTCCAGAAACCTCGCAGCCCATACTTGCCAGCCCAACAGAGACGCCAGTCGAGCTAGATGATGACGATGTCGTGCTCTCCGTCCTTCAGCAACGCCTTGCCAGCGCAACAGAGATGCCGGTGGAACTAGACGATGATGACGTCGTGCTCTCCGTCCTTCAGCAACGACTTCGTAGCCACAAAGTCGTCAAGACAATGGCTGAAGATCTAGTGCGACAGGCTTCCACTACAGAAGCGGCGCAACAGACAACGAATACGCAACAAGCCATACTTTCACCACCCGTATTGCACGAGCAACCAATTCCCACACCGAAACAAGAGTTGCGCGTGGAGGTACCACCCACTACCTCATCAGTCCCAGTTCAGGTAGAGATACCTCCTCCCGTTCCGTCTGTTTCAGTGCAGGCAGAAAATAGCCCGGCGCCTTCCAACGGAAGTCAGAACGGAGATGCTCCGAAGAAGCCCATGTCAGCACAGGCTAAGCGAAGAGCTGCGCACGCACGAAGAATGCAACTAGCTTTTGGTGACGATGCGACATCTTGAAATGGTGGTGTGTGTGATGGAGGTCGGTTAGCTGTGTCTATAACATAATGATAATATGTGAACCAATTTCACCTCGTTCCGAAAAGACTCCTCTGCAGCAGTATCACAATCATCTTGGAAATTGAAGACGCGTTTAGTGCTATCGTGAGGATGTCGTCGTCATATGCCACACATCACACAGCAAGCAAAGAAACGAGTATTAGACAGTAAGACATGGAATTGAATCACATCTCCCATCTACTTTTCCCGGACCTTTCAGCGTCCTCATCTCAGCCAGCCAGACACATCTACCCACAAGAAAAACTCGCCGTAAGACCTCTGACCAGCCTTTCCTATTGTAACCCCAATCATCTCAACGCAACCAAGATGCTACGGACAGGTACCAGGAGGTAGACCTGTTTATGCGGCGTAGGGAGCAGCGGTGACGGTAACGGCACGAGCGGTAACGGTGACGGTATCGATGCGATGGGTTACCTTAGGCTCGATAAACATGGTGGTTTCCATGGTGCCGAAGGTAACGCCTGCGAAGAGGGCCATGGTGGCGCCGAGGATAGTGGAGAATTGCATTGTGGTGGTCGGGTTGGGTTGCTGGGAAGGGAGTGTTAGGTGGAGTGGTGGAGTGGTAGAAAGGGGAGGTAGTACGTTTTGTTGGTAGTGACTGGGGATGTGTTAGTTGTTTTTGCTTGAAGTGATGAAGCGGTTGTAATAAGAGGAGAGATCGTACTTGAAGTTTTTTTGATCGAAGTCGAAGACGGTAGATTGAGGTCGAAGTGTTTACGGATGAGAGACTCTAAAAGGGGATATGCCGGTTTTATACTCTCACCCTGCATTTCCTCATTCTTAGGGACTGATCTCAAGTGTGTTCGTGTGTTCGCGTGTGGTTTGGTATTTTGGTTGCCATCCACTCCATCCACTGGTACTACGATGGGACGCAATGTAGCCCCTCAAAATTTCCCCAACACTCAACCATCCCATACGAAAAGGTACCCCTCAAATGAGAGAGATCGTAGGCATCGGAGACTCTTCAAAATGCGGCAATGTTTGGTTCCGGCCTCGGAGAAGCGGAGAGGGTGATGAGGCAGGGTCCAACCCCGGTGAAGCACCTGAAGCTGGTACTCTCCGTTCCATGGCACTGTGATGTGAATGAGGCGAAGCCGAAGGCGAAGCGGAGACAGACATGCAAATAAACAAGAGTGCAATACGAGTGGATGAGTGATCTCGATGCGCTATCGAGCATGATTGCGTACTCTCATGGTACACATTTAAGTATTGTCTCCGACCTGGTATACCAACTCAAGAACGATCGATCGTAGTTTTCGCCGGTCTCAATTTTCTCCGCTACATTACACTCTCAACAATTCTGCATGGGCAATTTGGAAGAATCATACTCGCGCAATCGGACCCTGAGCCACACTTCACCTTCGAATTCGCCCCAAGGGTTTCTACCACTCTCCATATTTCGCTCCAATGCGTTCGGTGGCAGGTAATATTGCTTACGTTATCGGTAAACATACGCGACATAATGTCACCGTGCCAACAAGCCGACCGCGTCCCCACTGTACTTTGAGCAAAAGTATTGAGACACTGCAGCTGGAAAACCTAGCTCGCGTGGTATCGCATCAACGGTGGGGAATCAACATATTGCATGAAGAAGGACAGCGCTGCTACCTCAATCGTATTGATTGTTACCTCAGAGGGTGCACTATCGCATCAGCCAGGCGATTGAGTCTGCTACTAGAACAAGAGAAGACATATTGATGATAATAATACGCACGAGGATGTGCTGCGAATCACACTATAGCAGAAACAAACCACTGGAGCCGTGGGGTAGCTCAAGAACAGAGTGAGGCCATCTTCATTTACTTCCGCTAGGATAGCGGAATCTTGTATTGAGATTGCGGGCCCAGCTGACAAGGGCGTTGAACTCACCATATCCTTCCTCATAGAATTGCGGATATGTTGTGACGTGGCAGAAGAACGTTTGTTGGATCTAATCGAGTATGTGATCGGAACTGTGTGTCACAGATATATCGCAAACTGCCAATCATTATATCACGATAGCGATAGTCGGAACCAGATCTGATCTCGGAGGTACCGCCACCAAAATATATCGGCTGGTCATCGGTCTCATAGATTGTGAGTGCGTTATGGGTATTGATTACAATTTCGTTCTAGTCAGAGTCGCCAAGTTAGCCAGGTGACAGAAGCCTTGCGACGGAGATGGCTTACTGTTCGGCTAGGAAGCCCCTTCCTCCACTTCCAATTCGCCGCCGAAGCGGGTCGTGTCCCTTGAGTGAGAGTCTCTGTGACCTCAGTACGGTGAGCGTGGATCTCTGCTGTGCCCCGTGTTCGATCGCATGCAATGCGTATAAATTCTGCTCGAGATTCTACGCGAGGAGGTCCGCAACGTTCATGGGCATTTCGTCGATCTGGGTAGAGTAGTACACTACGAGGATTAGCGGATGTCTGAAGAAGAAGCTGAACAGTACTTACACTCAATGTCACGGAGGATGCGAACGTCATCTTGAGTGACAAAGTTGATGGCTACACCCTTGCGTCCGAATCGTCCACTTCGACCAATCCTGTGGATGTAGTTCTCACGGTTCGATGGCAGATCGTAGTTGATGACGAGCGACACTTGTTGCACGTCAATGCCACGCGCCCACACATCGGTCGAGATGAGCACGCGAGAGTTGGCCTGGCGGAAGTCGGCCATAATGCTGTCTCGCTCCTTCTGCGGCATCTCTCCGTGCATGGAGGATACAGTGAAGTTGGCGTCGCGCATCTTGTCCGTCAACCAGTCAACCTTGCGGCGCGTGTTGCAGAAGATAACTGCTTGTGTGATGGTAAGTGTGTCGTAGAGATCGCACAGGGTGTCGAATTTCCACTCCTCCTTCTCGATAGCGATGAAGTATTGCTTGAGGCCCTCTAGCGTCAATTCGTCACGCTTAACCAGAATGCGCACGGGGTCCGTCATGAATTTAGTCGTCATCTCGAGCACATCGTATGGAAGGGTGGCCGAAACGACAACAACTTGGGTGGCAGGTGGGAGGTAGCGGTAGACATCGTAGATTTGCTCGCGGAAACCTCGGTTGAGGAGCTCGTCGGCTTCATCGAGAACGAGCATCTTGATGTTGCGTGTGCGGAGATTGCGGCGGCGAATCATGTCGGCTACACGTCCTGGGGTTCCAGAGACAACGTGCTGACCATAGTCGAGCTTGCGAATATCTTCGCCAACGTTTGTCCCTCCGACGCAAGGGTGGCATTGTACGTTCATGTAATCGCCGAGACCCATGATAACCTGCTGAATCTGGGTCGCAAGTTCGCGAGTGGGTGATAGTACGAGTGCTACATCTGATTAGCATAGTCCAGCACCTCCAATCTGACATGACGTACCCTGTGTCTCGCGCA